CGGTGCGCGCAGGCCCGGCGGGAGAGCTGCGGCTGCGCCAGTTCGGGCCCCGCGTCGAGGCGCTGGTGCCACCCGCGTACCGCACCCTGGCGCTGCGCCACCTGCGCGGCCGCGTCTTCCAGCTGCACGTGGCCCGCGAGTTCCCGTGCGCACTGCCCCTCGGCGACACCTGGCTTTCGCTTGAGGCCCAGCACGGGCAGCTGGTCAACTTCTACCCCCTGGACCGCCACGGGCTGTCCCCAGGCTTCGACGTGCCGGGCCTCAACACCTACCGGGTGCTGCGGCTGGCGCGCCCGCAGTTCAAGACCCAGTGATTCCACGCTCAGTACTGGGTCTCAGCTTTGCGACCTGAGGGTGGCAGAGGAGGCGGCGGGGGTGCTTGTGAGAACCAGGTAGTTGGCAAAGTCATGGTTGGGGGATCACAGCCGGTCTGTGAGCTGCTCCTTACCCGTGAGGGAGGTGGAGTCACCGGCATGCTCAGCCTAACTGAATTTCCGTTAACGATAAACCCTATTCGGTGGGTTCACGCGGCCTGGATGCGTGGCGGGCTAGATCATCTAGCTGTAAGTACTGTGCAATGTTTGCAGGGTGGAGCATTTCTCTGAGCTTACCCGGTTCCAGGATGCATGACCACACACAAATTTAGAGAAAGCATTTAGAAAACTGCCCCGAAACAGAGTACTTTGGTGTCTGACGAGCCTAAGACGAGATATGGGCTTGCACTTTTTTCTCTTAAAAGTCAACCTTTCTGAGTTATCATTGACATGAAATGCAATCCATTTTCTGGGTATGACTGAGTAACTCTGGACAAATGTTCATACCCACCACCGCCGCCGCCAAGAAAGAGAAGATGACCCCTGCTGCTCCTTGGCAGGCAGTTCCCTCCCCCTCCCCTGGCCCCAGACAACCATTGATCTGCTTTCTGTAGTGTAGATGGTCCTGCCTTTTCTAGAATTTCATCTAAATGGATCAGACAGTGCAGTCTTTGTGGCCTCTTCTTTTGCTCAGCAGGCTGCTTCTGAGGGTCGCCTCTGTCTTTGTGTGCATCAGTGGCTTGTTCCTTTTCATTCCGTTGTGTGGCTACCTCGCCATTATTACCCACTCACCTGTAGATGGGCATTCGGGCTGTCTCCAGGTTGGGCTATGTCTTTTTGTGAGTAGGTGTTTTTATTTCTTTAGATAAATATCTAGGCGTGACTGCCATGCTACTTTCTAAAAGGCGAGTACCATTTGGCATTCCTAAAAGCAACAGGTGACAATCTGGCTACTCTGTATCTTTGCTATCAGGACATCACCAGTCTTTCAAATGGTACCATAGAAGGGATTGCCAAGTTAGAGCTCCCTGGTTTGCATTGTATCATAGTTAGCAAATTGTAAAAGCTCTTTTTTTTTGAGAGAGAGAAATTTTTGCTGTACGGCATGTGCACTCACCAGAGAAAAGAGAGAGAGAGAACGTGAGAAATCACCCCCAGGAGAGATGGCCACACCGTAATCCCTTCTCCTCCATTTCCTCTTGGGATTTTGGGCATGCAGCCACGTGTGCCTGATGTGTTTTAAGCCACCGGGTCTGGGATGCAAACCGTGGTCGACTACGTGGGAGTCCAGTGACATAACCATTATGCCATCTGGTGGTCCCAATAAAAACTCTTTTTAAAAAGATTTATTTATTCTTATTATGGTAAGTTTTGCTATAGGGCACACATGCTCACCAGAGAGAGACAGAAGTGAGAAAGCAAGCCGCCAGGTCTTAGACTTGATGGGGTTGGCCATGTGGCAGTCCAGGGCCTCCACTTCCACACCACCTGCTGGTCCCTCTTTTTTGTTTTGTTTTAGTTCCCAGAGGGCATGTGTGCTCAAAGAGAGAAAGCACCCCCGCCCCACCATGAGTCAAGTCGCAATCCTTTTTCCTGCCTTTCCCCTTTCCGTCTGGATGTGGGGTGCACGTGCGTATGTGCTGGGTGTGCTTTTTCAAGCCACTGGGACAGGGATTTGAACCGAGTGGAATCTGGCTCCATCTGCAGAATGCTGAACCACCACACTTGTCGGGGTGGGCCTGTGAAAGTTCTTTATTTACTCAGAGTACAGGTCCCTCGACAGATACAGGAATTGCAAATATTCCCCCATATCTGACTTGTCTTTTCATGTTTTGAAATAAGTCTGTTTCTTAAGAGGGAGAAGAGGGACACTCCCACCAGGGTCCCCAGGCCATGGGCCATCCTCAGTCTCAACCCCTGTGCCCAGAAGGGTCCTGGGACCCTCCCATATGAATCCCTGCCCAGCCTTTTAATTTCCTTAACCACCACACCACCTGTTGGTCCCAATCTTGATGAATTTTAAGCCTGTTGAATCTAATATGAAATTTGGGCTTGTATTTTCTGTCTTTTAAAAGAATAGCACTTTTTATTGGGTCATTGGAAAAATCATGACACGTGTTTACATAAAAAAACATGTAGTGACTTTTCTGATGACCTAACATTTTGAGGTATTATAGCTTCACATGTGGTTGTAAGAAATAAGAGTACTCGTGGGGCTAGCGGGTGCAGTGGTTACATTGCTGGACTTTCCCACATGACTGACTACGGTTCAAGTCCCCGACCCAGTGACTTGAAACTCATGCCAGGCGTGCGTGCATGTGTGTGTGCCCAAGATCCCAGGAGAAGAATGGAGGAGAAGGGATTGCGGTGTGACCATCCCCCAGGGGCCGATTTCTCACTTTCCCTCTCACTGTCTCTCTCTCTCTCTCCCTTACCTCCACCCTGTGAGTGCATGTGCCCTAAGGCAAAAACCTCTTTTTTTTTTTTTTTTAGGGGTTTTTTGTTGGGGGGGCCAGAAAGAGAGACAGAGAGACAGAAAGCGAGAAATCACCCCCTCGGGGGATGGCCACACCATAATCCTTTCTCTTCCATTCTCCTCTTAGGATCTTGGGCATACACGCACACGTGCCTGGCGTGTTTAAGCCACCGGGTCTGGGATTCGAATCGTGGTCCACTACATAGACATTACGCTAACTGCTGGTCCCCCAAACCTCTTTTTTAAAGTGCTTTCTTTTTCAAAAATATTATTTTATTTAACTTAATTTATTTATTTATTTTAATTTGACCAGAGAGGGATGGGGTGGGGGGGGAGAGAGACTTGCACCGCAGTTGGCCGTGTGGGAATCCAGCATTCTTAACCTCCATGTCACCTGCTGACCCAAGGCAAAAACCTCTTTAAAAGAAAAAAGAAAAAGGGAGCCAGCAGGTGGTATGGTGGCTAAGGGCACTGGACTCCCATGTGGCTGATGTGGTTCAAGTCCCGGACCTGGCAGCTTGCTTTCTTGCATTATAGCAAAAACCTCTCAGAGTAAGTAAAAAAATAAATAAATAAAGTTAAATAAAATAATTCTTTACAAAAAAAAAAAAGAAAGAAAAAATAGGGTCCACTACCCGTGGCATCACCTTGCACAGGTGGTACGAGTCCGCCGTCAGAGCAGTCGGAGCCGGGGTGCATCATCAGCCCAGGGATCCCTGGTGCACTCTCCTAGCAGCACTTATGACCCACCCAGCCTCACCACCTGCACCCCCGAATCTGTTCTCCATTTTCTGTTATTTTGTCCTTTCAAGAAGATGATAGAGGCAGCCGCGTGGCTCAGCAGTTAAGGGAGCCGGTTCCCATGTGGTCAACCTTGGTTCAAAGCCTGAACCCCAGGAACTTGAAAAGCACACCATGTGCTCAGAATCCTGATGGGATGGAGAGATGGAAGAAGGGGGTTACAGCATGGGCCAGTTGAGGGGTGTCCTCTCTCTCTCTCATGAGCCCATGTACCTTCTGGCAAAAAAAAAAAAATCTAATTTCAATTCAGATCAGAATGAGAAACAGAAAAAGTTATTTGAGAAAATATTTATTTAAAAAAAGAAGGCTAGCAGATGGTATGGAGGCTAAGGCGTCTGGATCCCACATGGCCTACTAAGTGGTTTGAGTTCTGGACCTTGTGGGTTGGAAAACTCCACTGGGCGGGACCAGCAGCTGGCATAATGGTTACGTCGTTGGACTCCTATGTAGTCGACCGTGGTTTTAGTCTCGGACTCGGCAGCTTAAAACTCATGCCAGGTGTGTGTGTGCCCAGAATCCTGAGAGGAGAATGGAAGAGAAGGGATTGTGGTGTGGTCATGCCGTCTAGGGGATGATTTCTCACTTTCTCTCTCTCTCTGTCCCTCTGGTGAGTGCATGTGCCCTATAGCAAAAATCTCTCTAAAGCTCAACTCTCTTAATAAACAAACAAACAAACAAAAATTCTGGGTGCGTATACATGCATGGTCAAACTCCTGAGAGGAGACTGGAGATGGGATCGTGGTATGGCCAAGCCCCTAGGGGGCGCTTTCTCACTTTCCCTGTCTATTGCTCTGTCTCTCCTGCAAGCACATGTGTCCTATAGCAAAAATTGGAAGGAAAAAAAAGAGAATAGTATCTAAATGAAATCATGGAGTGTTTAAGCTTTGGGGATTTTTCCCCCCACTTAGTGTAATTCTCTGGAGAGTCATTCAAGTTGTTGTAAGTATCAATAGTTTGCTTCTCTTCTGTTGCAGAGTAGCGGTTCTGTGGAGAAATGTAACACAGTTTGTTTAACCATTCACTTGTTGAAGGACATCTGGGTTGCTTCCAATTTAAGGCTATTAGGAATAAGCTGCTATGAATATTTGTTTACAGGTGTTTGTGTGAATGTAAGTTTTTATTTCTCTGGGAGAAATGCCCAGAAGTGCAACTGTTGGGTGGAATTGGTAGTTGCATGTTTATTTTTGAAAGAAGCTGCCAAATTGTGTTCCAGAGTGGCTGTACTATTTTTACATCCAAGCCAGAAATGTGTGTGTGTGATCTAGTTCTGCTAAAATTTGCCAGGATTTGGTATTGTCACTGTTTCAATTTTAGTAACTCTAATAGATGCGTGGTGATATATCCTTACGGTTTTCATTTGCATTTTCCTACAAGCTAATGATGCTGAATTTTTTTTTTTTAAGGTTTTTGCCTTGGAGGGGGTGTGCTTGCCAGAGAGAAACAGACAGGGGCAGTGAGAGAGAGAGTGAGAAACCACCCTCCAGGGCAATGGCCAGGCTACAGTCCCCTCTCCTCCACTGTCCTCCTGGGATTTGGGGCATGCATGCACACACACTCGGTGTGATTCTCAAGTGCCAGGTCTGGGACTTGAACCTTGGAGTTGGTCGTGTGGGAATTCAGCTCCTTAACTACCTTGCCATCTACTGGCCCCAGATGTTCTTTATGTGCTTCTTTGCCATCTGTATATCATCTTCAGCAAAATGTCTCTGTACATCTTTTGCTCTTCTAATTGGATTTTTAAAAAAAAATCCCGGAGTCTGAGGTTCCTAATGTAGTCTACTGATAGATACTAGGCCTTTTTTTTTTTTTTTTGAGAGGTTTTCGCTATAGGGCATGTGCGCTCGCCAGACAGACAGAGAGAGACATAGAGACAGAAAACGAGAAATCACCCCCCAGGGGGGATGGTCACGCCGCAATCCCTTCTCCTCCATTCTCCTCTCGGGATCTTGGCCACGCACACAGACGCGCCCGACGTGAGTTTTAAGCCACCGGGTCCAGGCCGCGAACCACGGTCGACTACGTGGGAGTCCAGCGACATAGCCATTACGCTAACTGCTGGACCCCCGATGCTAGGACTTTAATGGATATATAGTTTATAAACATTTTGTGGGTTTTAGTTTGCAATTCCATCCTCTTGGGGTAGTTTGTAAAGCCACATCCTAAAATTCTGATCGAGTCTAATTGTGGCAGGCTGGATAATCCACTTCTCCTCGAAGATGTTCACATCCTACCCTGGAACCTGTGAATGTTGAATTACATGGTAAAAAAGGACTTTGGGGTGTGGTTTGGTTGAAGGTGGTGAGGTGAGGGGATTATCCGCATTACTGAGATGGGCCCTACATGCTGTCACAAGAGAAGCAGAGGCTGGAGGAACACAGGTGAGAGAAGGCAGTGTCCCCGTGGCGGCAGGGACTGCAACAAAGCCACCAGGCCGAGGAGTGCTGGCAGCCACCAGGACCTGGAAGAGGCAAGAGCGAGCCAATGGCCGGAGCACAGCCCTGCAGACCCCAGGGTTCTGGAGCAGCGATACCAGTTTGAGACTTCTGGTTTCCAGACCGTGCGAGAATAAATGTCTGTCATTTTAAATAACAAAGTTGGTGGGAATTTTCTTAGTAGTAGTCACAGGGAACGAATATACCACTGTATCAATTTTCCTCCTATAAATCATACTTTCGGTGTTAAGTCTAAAACTCTTTGCTTAACCCTAGAGCCCAAAGATTCTCCCCTGTGTTTTTTTTATTTTTTATTTTTTTTTTATTTTAGTCTTTGAAAAATTTGCTATAGCGCGTGTGTACTCTCTGGAGAGAAACAGAGAGAGAGAGTAACAAAGTCCCCAACTCCCCAGGGGGGCTGACTATGTTATGGTCCCCTCCCCCCTTCTCCTCTCAGAATTCTGTACATGTACACACATGTACCCAGCATGTTTCTCAAGGAGCCAGGTCTGGGGCTTGAACTACACAGTCAGTCATGTAGGATCCAGCCGCCTTAACCATTATGCCACTGACTGGCCTCTGAGAGTGTTTTTAAAAATCATAAATGGGTTTTGAATTTTGTTAACTATTTTTCTGCACAACTTGATACCATCATGTCATTTTTTCTTCTTTAGTTTATTAATCTGGTAGATTTCAGGGGTCGATTTTTTAATACCAAACCAGCCTTATGTCCCTGGAGTAATTCCCACTTGGTCATGGTATGTGCTTCTTTTTATATATTACTAATTCCCATTTGCTAATAATTTAGAAAGAACTTCGCCTCTCTGCTCATGAGGAATAATAGATCTATAGGTTCTCTTTTTTGTACTGTCTTTATCTGGTTTTGGTATCAGGGTAATACTAGTTTTTATGAAATGAATTCAGAAATATTTACTCTTCTTCTCGTTCCTGGAAGAATTGTGTAGAATTAGTATCAGTTCTTTGGTAAACATTTGGTAGAATTCTGCAGTGAATCTATCTGGACTTAGAGATATTATTTTTTGGGGAATTAGAAAAAAATTTTTAAGACATTTTTGGTAGAGGGTATATGCGCCTGCTGAGAGACAGAGAGAAACAGAGAGACAGCGAGAAATCATTCCCGGAGGGGTGGCCACACTGCAATCCTTTCTGCTCATTCTCCTCTCGGGACTTTGGGCATGCACACACACATGCCTGGTGTGAGTTTTAAGTCTCCGGATCGGGCATTTGAACTATGGTTGACTACATGAGAGTCCAGTAACATAACCATTATGCCATCTGCTGGTCCTAGGAATTAGAAAAATGATTAATTCATGGTCCAGCAGGTGGTGTGGAGGTTAAAGTGCTAGATCCCATGTGGCTGGCTGCACAGTTCAAGACCTGGACCTAGCAGCTTGAAAATCACACTGTGCGCATGTGCATGCCCAAAATCCCAAGGGGAGAATGGAGGAGAAGGGGTTGTAGTAGGGACTGTAGTATGGCCGTCGCCCCAGGGGGTGATTTCTCACTTTCCCTCTCTCTCCCTCTCCCTGTGTGTCTCTGGTGAGCGCATGGGCCCTTATAGCAAAGCTAAAAAACAAAAGAAAAATAATTAATTCAGTTTTCTTAATGGTTATAGGCCTATTTTAATGATTTATTTTATATTCATAAGTTGGTGTAGTTTATGTTTTTTGAGGCATTGGTCCATTGATGTAAAATTTATCTCTATAGAGCTCATCATTCATGGTATTTTCTTCTCTCTCTCTATTTTTTTTTTTTTTGGAGAGATTTTCACTGTAGGGCGCATGCGCTCGCCCGACAGAGAGAGACATAGAGACAGAAAGCGAGAAATCACCCCCCAGGGGGGATGGTCAAGCCGCAATCCCTTCTCCTCCATTCTCCTCTCGGGATCTTGGGCACGCACGCACACGTGCCCGGCGTGAGTTTAAAGCGACCGGGTCCAGGACGCGAACCGTGGTCGACTACATGGGAGTCCAGCGACAGAGCCATTATGCTAACTGCTGGTTCCCTCTCTCTCTATTTTTTTAAGTTTATTATTTCTTCTATGAGAGAGGGAGACAGAAAGCGAGAGAGAGTGAGGGTACCCCCAACGGGCCTCTGCACCATGATCCTGCTCCAACCTCAGCCAGCCTGCATCATGAGCATGCACCGTGTGCTTTAGTTGCATAGGGAGACCTTGGGACACAAACCCAGGGTGTTCCCACATGTCCTCAGCATCACAGAGCATTGTGTTTGGCTGTGCCACTGCAGCTGGCCACCCCTTACAATCCTTCCAGTATTCTCAGGGTCCATAATGATTGCCTGCAGGGTCCATAGTGCTAACCTGCAGGGTCTGTAGTGATGGCCCACAGGATCTGTAGTGATGGCCCAGAGGATCTGTAGTGATGGCCCACAGGGTCTGTAGTGATGGCCCACAGGGTCTGTAGTGATGGCCCACAGGGTCTGTAGTGATAACCTATTTCCTTCCTAATGTTGGCCTTGCAGAAACCCCTGGACCTTTGCACGAGGTGGGAGAGCAGTCCAGTAATGACTAGGGTTGAATTTGTTACCAGTCTGCTAGGATGGGGGCCCACTGGGTTTATGTTGTGTTGAAGGACGTAACGATGTGTCCTCTGTCTTATACCATGCATGTGGACTGCACCGTGGTCACTCCAACTTCAAGTCAGGGAAGACTTTGTCTGTCTCTGGTCTTCAGCAAGTTTGGACCTGGCTCAGGAGTGGAGGCAGCTCCAGGCCACACCTTTAGGTGGAGGTGGGCAGTCCATGCCTTGTGCATAGGTGTGTGTGGGGATAGGGGCCTGAGGCATACCCTCTGGTAGCACTGGGGTTGTCTTCTCTGTGCTGAACAAGTCTTCTACTATTCCTGAACCTCCGGAAGGCTTTGTCAAAGTGACAGCCCAGCCTGTGGTCTGGGTTGTGGAGAATTACCATGTACGTATGGGGGTGGAGAGGCTCCGAGGGCCCCTGTAGGGGGAGAAGAGTGTGTTGTCAGGGCCCAGGGTTCTAAAGCCAAGCAACTGGTTCAATCCAGGCCCTACCACTCCATGGTTCTCATGTGGATTATTTAACTGCTCCATGCCTCAGTTTCCTCATCTATAAAATGGGGCTAATGCTGATCCTACTTCCTTCATGGGGCTGTGAGGATTAAATGAGGGTCTGTACCTGAAGCGTGTAGCATGCAGTGTATGTCTGGTGCATGTACACTGTCAGCTGCTACAGCTCTGTGAGGTGGTTGAAGGGGGACTGGGATGGGTGGGAAGAATGACAGGTAGGGGGACAGGAGCTGTGGCACAGACAGATGGGGCCATCCCTGCCCCTTCCCCAAGAGATCCTGGCCAGGACCCTATAATTGGACAGGTTAGGTTGTTCTGAACCTCAGAGTGTTGGCTGTTAATGGAAACAGAATCCCTGAGGGGGCCAGAATATGGGCCCACGAAGATGTCCACCTCTCTGGAACCCGTAATATGTTAGGGTACAGGGCAGAGGGGAATTGAAGTTGCAGATGACCTTTAAATAGGGAGATTAATTATCTGGGTCATCCGGGTGGTCCCAGATAATCACAAAGACCCTCAAGAAGGGAAGAGAAGAACGTTAGAGAGAAAGATGAGAGACAGGACGGCTCAGAGATGCAGCTGTCTCCGCAGCATGCTGCAGACACTGGCTTTAAAGAGAGACAAGAGGCTGCCAACTGAGGGGTGTGGCAGCTTCTGGGAGGAGCACAGCCCTGCTGACACTGGAACGCTAGCCTAGTGGCCTGCGTGGGACCTCTCCCCTGCAGGACCGTAGGATGGTGTGTTGGTGTAGTTGAAACCTTGACACCTGTAGGAATTTGTTTCAGTGGCAGTAGGAAGAAACTTACACGCCCACATGTCAGGGTGTGATGAGATCCAGGGCCTTGAATCAAGATCCAGGAAGGTGCGGTGCTTTGCTCGAGGTTGCACTGGTAAGAGCTCTTTGGCTGCCGAAACCCACCTCTCGGTGGCCATGGTCAAGGGGTTTGCCTGCCTGCCCTGCCCTGCCCTTCCCTTCCACGGTGTCTGTGCACTTCTGCCCTCCTCTCCCGTGAGCTGGCAGTGACTCGTCATTTCAAGAGTGCAAAGACCCTAAGATTTGTGTGTGGTTACTGTCTACAGCCAGTTGATTTAATAAAGGGGATTATCCTCCATAATCTGAATGGGCTTCCTCCAGTCAGTGAAAGGTCTTATGAGCAAAATTGAGGTTCCCCTAAGGAAGAAGAGATCCCACCTTGGAATGCAAGATCAACCCCTGCCCAAGTTTCCAGCCTGTTGCTCTGTCCTACAGATTTCGAATTTGCCAGCTGAATTGCAAATATTCCTCCAAATAAATTTTCTTTTTGAGAGGTTTTTGCTATATGGCGTGTGCGCTTGCCAGAAAGACAGAGGGAGACAGAGAGACAGAAAGCAAGAAATCACCCCCTAGAGGGGATGGCCACGCCGCAATCCCTTCTCTTCCATTCTCCTCTCAGGATCTTGGGCATGCACGCACATGCACCTGGCGTGAGTTTAAGCCACTGAATCTGGGACTCGAACCACGGTCAACTATATGGGAATTCAGTGACATGGCCATTATGCTAACTGCTGATCCCAATCTTTATTAAAAAAAGTATTTATTTAATGGTATTTATTATTCTTTATAAAAAAAAGTATTTATTTAATGGTATTTATTATTATTGTTACTATTTAAATTTTGTTATGGGGCACATGTGCTCACCAAAGAGAAAGAGAGAGAGAGAAAGGGAAAGTGAGAAGCAAGGTGCCAGGTTCAGGACTTGAACCATGGTCAGCCACGTGGGAGTCCAGCATCTCAACCACCATGCCACCTACTGGCCCCCAAATTAATATTTTTATTCTTTTGGGACCAGCAGGTGGCATGGTGGTTAAAGTGCTGGACACTCCCACATGGCCGACCAGGGTTCAAGTCCCCGGACCTGGTGGCTTGCTTTCTCACTTTCCCTTTCTCTCTGTCTCTCTCTGGTCAAATTAAAAATACATGAATGAATAAATAAAATTAAATAATTATTAAAATTTTTTTCTTCTTTTTTTTTTTTTGGAGAAGTTTTTGCTATAGAGCACATGCACTTGCCAG